CGATCTTAAATGTAATTTATTACACTTATTACATTTATTGCACTTATTGCACTTATTGCATTTCGTGCATTTTTCACATGATCGGTCACGATATTCGACATCACCATTCCCGATTTCACAACAGCCACAACTATCATTGAAGCTCCTACATCGGCGAGTCTGGCGCTAATCGAAGGTCGGCTTCGTGTAACGATCGGATGACTTGCGGTCTTGTGTAATTTATCGTCCGTAGGTAAGTACTATTCCCTTCGTCTTCTCTTGAGTCTTTCCTACTTTCTTTTACTAATTCCTTTCTTTTCTTATTTTCTTGTCTCATCCGGGATTTCGCTACGTCGAATCGGGGTCGGGACTCTTTTCGATTCGGTCTTCGGGTTACGGGTCACGTGACTACGTCGAACGATCAACGCGGAATTAGCTTATTCTTTAGGGAGGACGGGTTCTATTTAACGATGGTCACTGGGGTCTTACAAGACAATACTTGCACTCTTATTAAGGTCGGGTAAGTAGTTTATACTTTGCAATCGTAGTTACTTTCTGTTCGTTTATTAATCCGTTCTAATCCTATCTAAATCCGTCCTCACAATATTTATTGTTATAAGGGAAGATATTGTTATTCTTTTCCCAAGGCAAATATGCCCTTTATTTATAATAAATGTTTATTTACATTTGCAATTAATTTCTTTCATAAATGTAAAAGACCGATATTCCATTTAGCGGATATGTAACCGAAATAGAACATTTCTGTTACTTTCGCGTGACCTTGGATCGGGTAGGGATCGTCGCTTCGATTCGGGCACTCGTGACCCCAAAAATCGGGCTCACACTACACTTCGATAAAAAAAAATTCATTTATGTATATATTATATAGCAAACTGGCGATTAATTTCTCTGTACAGTAACATCTTAAATTATGGTGATGAATTTAGTTCTAAGAGGTTGAAGGTTATGGAAATGTGCAAAATGCAAACGATATAACACATCTCGTGGTTGGTGTCAAACATGCGATCCCTGAATGCTATATCCAACTAGTAAATAGATGTATGGATGCTGATAGACCAACTGCATTTGGTATATATGAAAATTATTAAGATGGCATGAAATATTAGATAATAGTTGTCCGGAAAATAAAGATGAAATAGCAATATTAAAAGCATTCCAGTTTGCAGATGCAATTATTCCAACATTGTCAACCGAATTGCCGAAAATGTCATAAATTAATCAGTTATACCGTGTATGAAATTCGAATGGGCATGAATTTTTGAAATTGAGTTGCGTCAGAGCACAAAACTTATTGCAAAATGTCAGAGATTTCCGTTTACATAAGACAATTTCCAACTCAATTTTTCATGGGATGGAAAATTTTGTCATTTATAATTCATAGGCAGAAGTTTGTCTGATTGGCTAATAAATTCAAATTAATCAAACAGTATGACGTATACATAGCTGTCAGTACGAAAATGGTGTAGGGAATGTACAGCCATTTCTGTTCACATCTTTGCTATTTGATGGCTGTAGGGTATATGTAGTAATGGGCAAATCGCAGTTTTTTTAAAAATCCCGCGCGGATTCGCGGAACGTAGTAAAGTTTTTTAATTTTTCATGAATTATAAAAATATATATAAAGATAATCAGTAGAAATATAATTCTTGTTAAAATAATATATTTTAAATACATTTAGCATTTCAAAATGATGCCAAATCGGTTTATTAACACCCATGTTATAATAATGTTGTTTAAAGAATGACTTAATAATGGTTATATTTATTATGACAAGGAATAGTAAGTAAGAACTACTAACGGCAAAAAAAAATTTAATCAAGTGTACACATATACTGTATATAAACAAATAAAAGTTCTACGTAGAAATGCAGACCAGGGTAAAACAGCCACCCAAAAAAGTACGTGCCAAATATATCGAGACTAAAAACTCATGTAAAAAATCATTTTTCACCGATTTAAACCTTGCGATAATAAATAATACGTTTATTGAGATATTCGAAATAAATACAGTAAAATGATTAATTTATTACTTATTGTTTAAATTTTTTTGTTTGTATTTGTTAAGCTACATGAATTTTTAGTGCTCGATATGTTTGTTACGTGACGTTCGAAACTTTTTTGGGTGGCGATTTTACCCCAGTCTTAGAAATTCCCATTAATGTTAATGCAGGCCGGATGATATTCAATGCAGGCCAGATGATATGCTAATGCAGGCCAAACAATCTCATATTAAAAATCCCGCGCGGGATCCAAAAAAAACCGCCCATCCCGCGCGTGGCCCATCTCTAGGTATATGACTGTCTATTTCCTCTTAATTACCCGGTTTCATTGCGATTACACAGCGTTAAATAGTATCGATATGCTGTAAATGCAGGATTCATTAGTTAATTTCCTATTTCTTTTATCTTCTTTTTTATTTTTGTCTTTTTCCTGGAGGGGGGGATAGAAGGGAAGAACCTTTCGACTAGCCAGAAAATAAGGTTTCGGGCAACTTTGAAAAGCAGCGAAAAAACCAAATTTATTCTTGAATTTGTGGCTTATTTATACTTATCCATTTGACTTGCTAGATCAATGACCTCATAAACATAATGATCATGGGGTCAGGTGATCCTCGCGATAATATCCTTCCTACATGTAAAAACTATTTCGACATGGATTTTTAATATAAATCTATTAGTTATCTCTGAAATAACTCAGATACTTCATATCAAAAATCAACGTAGAAATAGTTTCTACGACATGTATACTGCTTTGAGATGTATCAGATCAAATTATCTATTATGCGTCAAATTAAAATCGATAATTTAAAATTTATAATGCGGTAAAATATAAATTCATTAACCTATAATTCTATACTGTATCATTGTGCATTTTTTTCATTATGGTATTTACATCCATTTCTAAATCCAATTTTTTTTGCAACAACATTTATTAGTATCATAAATGCTTTTTACACTTGCACATAATTTTCGTAAGAATACCATCAGTATTTTGATTCTGTGCAGCTTCTTTAACAGATATATAATCTGTTGACGTATGTTCTAATTTTATATATAATGGCTCAATTCACTTGCACAATATTTAAATGTTTGATTATAGTTCAGCTTATTTAAAATCTTGCATTGGTATATTTGTAACAAATCGATCAATATGTATTGTTACTATCTGACTTCGTATTCTAATTTTTGCCAATTGTATAAGCCTCTGCAATTCTTCGTAATACTTAGTGTCCCGTTATTTTTTGTTCGTTAATCTTGCAATGGTTGTGAGGTGCATAAAAAATGTTGTGAAAAAGAATCAATCTAAATAAATATAAAATATTCCATAATATTTAGTTCGATGCAAAATACATGAATGTTGCACGCCAATGGTGTTCTGCGGCAATCATGCCAAGGGTTTAAAAAAGAAAAAATACATGAATGATATATAAAAAAGCACGTCTGAAGTAAATTTATTATAAAAAATGACTTAATATAAAGTCGAGCTGATTAAAAGATCTTTGTACCCATTTTTAGATCTTGAAAGGGCGTTTAAAAAGCCATAGTTTTATATAAATTTTATAGCAATTTCCGTTGTGCGTTATACAACTTTTCTTTTGTAAATACGTAAAGGTTAGCAGAATTGACTTTTTTAGCTAATAAAAGAAAATTAACCATGCTCGCTACGTACTAGTGTTACAGAGTCCTCGAATTTTTCTAGCATCTAAAATAGCACAAGCAATATTACGAAAACAATCAAACTAAACTCGGTAAATTTTTTTTTGCAAAAATAAACCAGTTTTGATTGTATTTGGGTGGTTGTCGTAATATCGCTAGTGCTGTTTTAGCTGCTAGAAAAATCCGAGGACTCTGTAATGTTATACAAGTATTATATTAGAAACTTCATAGAAAATTCTAACCTTAGAGTACAGCCATTAACGGCGCGATCTGCATTATATGTGGTTCTATTGGAAAAATAGACATTCGATATGGAAGTTATGCCTTAAGAAATCAAAAGCATAAATAGCTTATCTTTGTTTATAACGACTCTATTGTGTTATTCCTTTAACCAAGTTAATTTAACTTTAATTGGCATTATTTAACCTCATTCTAAGAACGTAAAACTTTCATTTGAAATAGTAAATTATACGCAATTTCACTTTCTAGATATAAAAGCCAGATAAAAATAAAATAAAAGTTAACATGGTGTATCGTAAATGCGTAAACTGCAATAAATATCAAATACTTAACCGTAATAAGCTATGCAATAGTTGTAAACCTAAATGCACCGGCTGTAATAAAAAAAAAAGAACTTACAGATGAGAGTGAATTATGTGCTAATTGTTATTATAACAAAACACAGTTCCAGAATGTTAGTAGCGGAAACAAGATATTGACGATTTAATAAAGGCAACACATAATAATCAGCCTAAATTTAGATTAGAGTGGATCCCATTTGAGGACTTTACAGAAATAAAACAAATTGGAAATGGTGGTTTTAGTGAAATCCATACGGCCAAATGGACAAAAGGAACAATAGATGGATGGGACTGGAGAAATAAAAGATTCAATCGAAATAAAAATAAAACGGTTGTATTAAAAATTCTTAAGGATTCTCAAGATATTAATTCAGCATTCTTAAAAGAGGTAATAATAGATATGCCTTATCTTAATTGATGGTAGATTACTCTAAATATTTGTCATTTTTTCTGCAGTTACAAAATATCGTTAAAAGCCAGCCTAATTCCTACATGCGCTGCATTATTCAATGTTACGGAGTATCACAATTTTCAAAAACAAATGATTATATTTTTGTTATGTCTTATATGTCTAATGGAAGCCTAAATGATTATTTATCTAATAATTTTAAAGATGTTACTTGAAAAATGAAACGTGACTTTCTTAGGGATATTGCTACAGGCATTAAATGGATTCATAAAAATAACATTGTACACCGTGATATACACGATGGAAATATATTAATAGGTAATTTGGAAAGCAATGGTCCTGATTCTAACATTTTAATTGCTGATTTAGGATTTAGTCGTCCAGCGAAAGATAATTTGGAAAGTTCTGAATCCAATATATATGGAATTATGCCATATATTGCACCTGAAGTGCTTAATAAAAAGCAATATTCATTTAGTTCGGATATTTACAGTTTAGGAATGATAATGTGGGAACTTACAAGTGGATATCGCCCTTTCTATGAGCGAAAATATGACTCACTTCTTGCGCTTGATATATTTAATAAATTGCGACCAATTATCACTGAAGATACTCCACACTGTTGGGCTATCTTAATGCAAAAATGTTGGCAGTCGGATCCCTTAGAAAGGCCAACTATTGATGAAATATATGATGAAGTAAATTCTAGATATTGGAATGAAAATGAAAGTTTTATAAAAGAAGCTGAAAATAAACGACAAAAATTGCTTAATACCGGAAAATTAGCCGTTAAATATATGCATCCTCATTCTAAAACCCATAGCCAATTATTAAATCCTACTATAGACTCTATGCTACTTCAAGGTTCTAAATCTTTTACATTACAACCTATAGATTCTTTTCAAAGCATTAGCAGCGATTCATTTAATATTATGTAAGTAATTAAGTTTCTTTTTTACAATCGGAAATTTGAAATAGTAAATTAATGATGTTTCTAATTTAAATGTATACCCAGTCCTGAGCACTTCAAAAACGCTGACAGTCTAAATTCAACAATAAATATGCCACCTTCAAAAAAACACACTATCGAATTTTTACTGGATGAAAATTATTATGGTACAAAGTTTATATTTAATATTTATTTTATCGATCTCAACGTACTATTGTACTTATTTTACTGTATTATATTTATAAGATGACAAAAACGAAGAAGATTGTCTGATAATGGTATAGTATTTTTATTCAATTTAGTATCTATAATATTAACCACTTCTTTAACCAGAATTTTCGCTTAAATACACTAAAATAATAAATTTATATACGAATTCATATTATTCAATTAAACAGATTCACAGCCATATAACTTGTCATTAAATGATGCCATTTATCAAATTACCAACCTGAGCAATTTGAATTTAAATCATGATAAACTATGTTATGAGGCGGGAAAAGCTCTATCTGAAGCTTTATGTACAAATTCTAATCTAAAATGTTTGGATTTAAGTTCAAAAACACTATGTAATGGGGCGGGGCAAGAAATTGCTAGGGCACTAAGCAGTAACAACACACTAACAAATTTAAATTTAGAAAACAACTATCTTGGTGACGATGCAGTAATGGCTCTATCCAAGGCTCTGTACAAGAACACCTCCCTTATATGCTTAAATTTAAGGAATAATCGATTTGACAGTAAAGCTATAAAAACATTGGTTGAAGCTTTATACAAAAATACTACCTTAACTAATTTAAATTTAAGTAATAATGAACTAGAGAAAAGGCATTGGCTGCTTTATGCAAAAATACCGCCTTAACTAATTTAGATTTAAATGAGAATAGTCTAGGTGAATCGGGAATAAAATCACTGGCTGAAGTTTTATGCAAAATACTGCCTTAACTAATTTAGATTTAAGTAAGAATGGTCTAGGCTATTCAAAAGTAAAAATACTAGCTGAAGCTTTATGCAAAAATACCATCTTAACTAATTTAAATTTATGTAAGAATAATCTTGGTGAATTAGGAGGAAAGGCACTGGCTGAAGCTTTGTGTAAAAATACCACCTTAACTGACTTAAATATAGAAAAAAATAAAATAGATGAATCAGGAGGAAAAGCACTGGCTGAGGTTTTATGCAAAAATACCTCCTTAATTAATTTATATTTAAGGGAGAATAACCTTGGTGAATCAGTAGAAAAAGCATTGGCTGAAGCTTTATGCAAAAATATCACCTTAACTAATTTAGATTTATCATGGAATAATCTTGGTGAATCAGGAGTAAAAGCACTGGCTGAAGCTTTATACAAAAATACCACCTTAACGAATTTAAGTGTATATAATACCCGAATAACTGAATTAGGAGGAAAAGCACTGGCTGAAGCTTTACACAAAAATACCACCTTAACAAATTTAAATTTAGGATTGAATTTTCTTGGTGAATTAGGAGGAAAAGCACTGGCTGAAACTTTATGCAAAAATACCTCCTTAACTAACTTAAATATAAGAAATAATAATCTTGGTGAATCAGGAGGAAAAGCACTGGCTGAAGCTTTATGCAAAAATACCACCTTAACGAATTTAAATTTATATAGTAATATAATAAGTGAATCAGGAGGAAAAGCATTGGCTGAAGCTTTATGCAAAAATACCACCTTAACTGACTTAAATCTATGCAATAATAAAATAGGTGAATCAGGAGG